TCGAGACATCGTCACAAGCTCATTCGATTTCTATATACATATATTCATTTTCACTGCATTGATGGGAAAAACAGCCCGTTCCGCCCCCCCAGAAATATTCATGGCTGAGCCATATCTAACCAACCCATTCGCCCATTCAATTTCTGTTATATTATGGTGGCCCGTGACCTAAAGAAGTGTGATAACAAGCGCACACCCCTGGCAGCTTGGTACTATATCTTCGAACATTTTTCATTAATAATCATAGACATTAAAATATCTATTAGAATTCTTAAGCTTATATAAATATCTCACTTAATACACTAGTGTGATGTCATCAAAATTAATTCATTCAAATGTCAACCTAGAACACGATAACACACATAAGCCCTTTCACACGTTATTTAAAACTATAATTTTTATAACACTTTAAATTTACAGAAAATTACAATAATTTCTTCATTAGAAATTCTACTCTCGTTTTTGAGTGAAATTTTTCCTCGTTTTACACATGAAAAATTCATTTCAAGAATATTTTATGTTATATAGTGCGAAAAGAATTAAAATTATAATAAAAAAAATCTGATGTGGTCAGCACATAACCGACCGCATTGTGTATTGTCTAGTTAAATGAAAGTGTTACAGAATATTATAAAAATGTCTGTTAAATACTTCTTTCCAATTTTTAGGACATTTGTAAGCTTATAGTTAACATACTTAGAAAAATGTAAATTTGGCTCTTAGTAGAGTTTCGCTTTGTGCTACCCGAATTCCCTGAAATGCTCGCCAGTTAGTTTGGGTAACAACCAGAACTCAAATGTCAAATTTCAAGAAATTCCATCAATTTGTTCTGTGGATATGGTGAAAAATGTAAAATCGGCCCGCAAATCAGTTCTCGAGCCCTGATCTTTCCAAAAAATTTACATGTTCATTGTTTTAATACGGGGAATTTATATATTAAATTTCAATGAAATCGGTTGATTATTTCTCTTTATATACACAAAAATGTATATTTGGCCCGTAGTAAACGCCCAGTTGCTGATGCCTGATTTCTTCCAAAAGTTAGGAATTTTTGCGTATAATCGAGTAAAGCTTATATATAAAATTTCAAGTAAATCGGTTGAATACTTTCTTCAAAATGGTGAAAAATGTAAAATCGGCCCGCAAATCCGTTTTCGAGCCCTGATCTTTCCAAACAATTTATATGTTCATTGTTTTAATACGAGGAGCTCATATATTAAATTTCAATGAAATCGGTTGATTATTTCTCTTTATATACACAAAAATCTATATTTGGCCCGTAGTAAACGTCTAGTTGACGATGGCTGATTTCTTCCAAAACATACGAATTTTTGTGGACGGTCGAGCTGAGCTTATATATAAAATTTCAAGTAAATCGGTTGAATACTTTCTTCAAAATGTTCAAAAATGTAAAACAGGCCCGCTAAAAAGTGCAGTTCCCGAGGCCTGATATATATCAAAAGTTGATCGATCCGTGCCATGGTGGAAACAAACTTACATATAAAATTTCATCAAAATCGGTTCAGCCGAACTTGAGATACACGCGTGCACACACAGACCGACAGACGGACAGACCGACAGACCGACAGACCGACAGACCGACAGACCGACAGACCGACAGACCGACAGACCGACAGGTTGCTAAAAATAGTTTATTTACACTTCCCTACTATGGAGAAGTACGTTCCCACCGAAAACTCGATATGCAAAATTTGTTGCCATCACATAACCTACCTATTGTTTACACAATACGGTCGGTAAACTATTGTTTACACAATACGGTCGGTAAAAAATTATAGGAAAGAATTTAACAATAAATACGATTATCTTCGATAAAATTCTAGAAATTCGTATAATTGTTACGAATTTTCTTGTCGAGAATCAGATAATCTTTTATCACATATTGAATTCAAGAATTCAATATGTAAAGTGGTCGCAGCACTGAATTTAATAAAAATTTATTTGGGTTGGTATTTTTTCGTTATACTCTTATGTAATATAAGAAAGCGTTATAAAATAACCAAAAAAAAAAAACGATTTACAATTGCCGATTCGGTTTTTAGTTAAATATGTATGGGCTGCTTCGTAAATAATCTCTGTAAAAAATATTCTTATGTAAAAAAAGGAGGAAAACAGCTACCTGCCCCCTATTTTCATGTTCGGAGCTAGCGAATTCCAAGCAAATATTTTTTTGATCTAATTTATTTCAGTAGAATACGGACCTAGCAAATGTAAATGCTAAGAAACTTGACCGATTTTTGAGGAATTAATGGTAGTTCGGATGAGGGAGTGAGAAAAAAAAGAAATATCTGGCGGTATTACAGTGGGTCTGGATGCCCTAATTCTGCTTATTAGTCTGGGAGGTTGTATTAACCTAAACGAACATAATAGGATCGCACAAATATTTAAATAATCTTATGAACATCACAACATATTGTGAACATTATCACATAATTTTATTAAGTACAATACATTTAAAATTTTATCAGATGTAAAATATTAGTGTTCAAAATTTTACGCAATACTGCTCCTAAAGTTATGCACTAAAATGAGGTTTTAATATTTTGATCCTTAAGTGAATAAAACTTATATGTGTTGGCCAGGAAAATTCTATTTTTAAAATAAACAGCCTCACATATTTAAGAATCATTTTATTAATATATAAAACTTATGTACGCATCAATTTTTGAAGTTTATTTAATATTATTTAAGACCAAAATAATTTTTTGTCTTGGATTTCTTGAAAATAATTTTAAATTAACGCAAAAAATTCACGTATACATTTCAAATGATAATATCAATTTTTCCTTAATCACTCCAATATATTTGTACGTAAAAATATTTGTCTGACTAAAGAAAATAGAGACGAAAATATCTTAAACAATTCAAGGGCTCATAAACTTTTATACCCTCTTCACAGTATAATATGAAAAATAGAAAATGGAAAATTCATTTTATAGGAACATTTACTTTACTCGTATTTACTCGTACTTTTATACTTATTTTTATGTGTAATCGATAGGAATTCTCATTCCGCAGACAAATTTTTATAACGACTAATGTATGCACATACATGTATGCATAGAAATAGTATACAATATATGTATTATTTTATATAAGTGTTCATCAAAATGTAGTAATAGAGTCTAGAAAATAAAATTCCATTTTATATACAAAAGAATAATAAATGTACAATATTGTTGGTTAATATTATACATATACATACACAAATATGTATATATATGTATGTCTCTCTTCATTTGTTTCATGACATACTCATATACATATATACTCATATTATTTACAAGAAAAGTTCTTCTTTTCTATTTTTGTTTTTCTCATATATAAACAAAATAAATTTTTTAGTCCTGTGACCTTGGGACGTCCTCCAAATCATTGTACTATCCAAAAAATTTTACATTTCGTTGATTATATACATACATACTTATATTCATATGTAATGGTATATGTCTGTATATATATACATTGATATTAATTTAATATTTTGATAGGAGAAAAATTCGTGGAAAATTCATGATGAAACGGAAAATGTCTGTACAAACACAGCCGGAAACTAGTAAATAAACTTATTAAGAATAACAGTAGAATAAAAGTGGAAAAATTTCTTTCTAAAAATAAATAAAAATAATCACTAATTCAATGGGAAATAACATGAAAATATGAAAGATCGATAATAGAATATGTTTAAGAGTCTAATATTCTATTTCAGATTTGAAATATTTGTATAAAGAGTGAATGTAGACCTTAACCATGTATGGGAAGTAGGCACTCAAGTTTGAGTCTTTTTCTTTGAATTGTTTACAAAAATTGCCTTTATTTTTTCCTTTTTCCAAGCAATTGATTTTCATCTTAAAGTTATTTTAGGCTTTTTTGTTATTTTTTTTATTAAAGTTTTAAAAAAAGATTTACTGAAATGAATATAGAAGCAAAGCCAATAATAATAAGGAAATTAATATTTAATTTATTAGATATTAAAATTTCTCGTTTCTGTATACAATTTCATTAGCCCCTTAATGTATGTAACCACCTCACAACAGGCATAATTTATGTTCTTCAGACCATAAAAAATGTTTAAGTTGGCAATGAAAATATCGGGAATTTTATTTAAGAAATCTGATTATGCTATACATTTTTTAAACAAACTGCAAGGGGTTAAGTTGGAAAAGTTACCTTTCGCTTCTTAGTTATCATGTCTCGTAACAAACAATTAAGTTATTCAAAATCAAATCCAAACGTTTGTGTACGCTGCTCTCACTACAATGTACATATAAAACATGAGAAGGATCTAATAAAATTAGAAAAATGCCACAAGGTTTAGAAATTTTGTGTTATTGAAGGAAAATTAGAAATACTGACGTGTGTTATAATTTTGAAAACTATTGAATATGAGAAATGTTTAAGAAATTTATTATTTGAATTTAAAATTTCCAAGAAATTTTACATAAACACAACGTTAAATTATTTGTTCCCTTTCCTCTTTCTGCCAAGATTTTCAAACCAAATAATTAGGATATATTTTTTAGAAATCTCAATAATTTAGGACATAATAACTTTGGAACTAACCGAAATTAGAGGGTACATTTTCCTTTCAAATTTTCGGAGTTGTACTAAAACATAGAATTTCCCATTAAAAATATTCCATTATTTGATCACTTTATAGCTATTTATTCCATATACGTAGCAAAATTATCAAAACACGTTCTTACATACATACATACACAAAATAGATCTTTTAATATTATGTAAAAATAAATTGTTCTGGAATATTTTTCACCTTGAAATAAAACATTGTACTTCTTTTAATTTGATGGTCAATAATTATATAAGTGAATATCCGAATTTTTGTTTAAAGACCTTGAAAAATATTTTCCATAACAATTAACGAATATTCGATTCTATTGAAAATAATAAAAAAAAATTCAAGAGTTTTGTTCATAGCTGCCTAGAATCAAGGAAAAGTTTTTTTACTTTTCAAATTATCGGGAATATTTTTGATCTTTTGTGTAGGTGAGTTTATTTTTTTTATATAATCGTTCATTTAATTTTTTTCTTACCATTACTCCATGCATTATTTGTACTTGATATTATGAATTTAGAATTCTTACCTGGAATGAAATAAAATATATATTTAATTAGTATTTGTGAGAAATTTTTTAATATTAAAAAAAAATGGACTTCCAAATTAAAAATAATACGTGTAGGTTATTTAATTTTGTTTAAATTTTGGAGTCAAATCTCTACTACGGGATATGATTCTCAAAATGGCAAACTAGTCTTGAATTCTAAAAGTGATAATGTTTAAATTTGATAACTGTTTTATTTTAATTAACAAAATTTCTTTGTATGGATGGTAATTTTACCACCCCTTGAAATATGCAAAATTTTAATTTCGTTAAACTTTGATTATTCTCTTGCCTTTATAAAAGTTTAATTGAACTTTTATAAAGTCAAAAAACGTATAACAGTTACCAGTTTCAACCAGTTTTAAGTTCACAATTATACCTTTGTTCTAATTTAATTAATTAAATCTAACTTAATCAAAAAAAAATTTTTTTACTATTCCTCCTAAATGTATGCAATTTTATATATTTTGCTCAATCATATTTTTAATACCAAATATAAGGCAATACAAATGCAGTTTAAAAAAATCTTTATTTCAAAAATAATTTTCATAGAACTTTTAGTTGAAATCATGATTTCTAAAATCAAAAGTCTATTTTATGTGTACACTCGTTTTGCACTATTGTTTTATTATCTTCCTACGCTTTACCCTTTCATAATGAATAATAATAAACGCCAACACCTTAACTTTTAACTAATGTACACATACATATACAGCTATACATAAATATTTTATACTAGACCATTTCTCAATTGAAGAAATTTCTCCCTTTTCGTGGAAAAATTAATGTTATCGCATTTTTTCACAATATTGCGTGTCGTAGAAATAAACATGTTAACTTTAAAAGTGTCGTTTTGTTTTCTCTTTCTTATTTTTTGTTTTTTTCTCTATTTTTTTTTTTATAATTTTTATTGTTTCCTGAAAAAAATGTAATGAAAACTTAATACGTCGCCTGCTCAATTTTTATTCGATTTTTTTTTTCTGTATGAAGCCAACGAACTACTAAGCCACTTTTATTCTTATGTACGCAGTTAAAATGAAAATATAAAAATTTTTTTTTCGTACTTCAGACGCTTTCAGTAAAATGATTTGTCAGTTGTAGTTTTTCCAAAAGTATAAATAAAGAAAAACAAATCCTACGGCAAAAAAAAAATCGAAAGAAAAAAGCATATAAAAGTGAAAGGAAAACTTTACTTTTAAAAAAATTTTTCTTTTCCTTTTCTTTTGACAGGAAAATATTATTTGGTTTTCTTTGTTCAAAAATTTCTCGAAAAGAAAAAATATCCTTTTTACGAAAATATTGTTAAGATTAATGATTGTCCGTAATAGGGTATAGTCAAATTCGGATAGCACGCTCTTTATTAGTCACAATAGATTCTCATGAAGTGGGATTTCTTAAATAATACTGTCGTACTTGAATAGCTCCGCCGCCTAATCAACCGAAAGCTTGAATGAACGTACTAATTGTAATTACTTTTATAATCTCTTTGAATAAACTACTTATTTCAACTTGCGTTGCCAGAATTTCGGAATTCCTAAAGTTAATCTCAAAAATATGAGAATAATAAATCGTACTAAAGATTTATAGCAACTTATTTCAAAATAAACCTATAAATATAGTATATTGGCTGGCATTGCATAATTTTAGGGGAATTATTTTTTTTTCTTTGTAACCCCCTATAGTACAAACCTAATTATGTAGGCCCTATTTTTAGTAAGCAATTTCATATTGTATAACCTAAAAAAAATTTATGTTGGTATTACAAAATTTATTAAAATTCATAACGTCAAAGAAAAATTTTATAAATATAAATACATGTGTAGTTGTTAAGAGTAACGATTATGACATTATTCGAAGAAAAAATCTATTGACATAAAATGAAATATGAGAAAGTTGTTCCTGTCCAGACTTTAATAATAATTTTGACAATATTTTTCAAGAACTTTCAAATATTTTTGTTTTATTATGCGTTGTTATGTTTTACTAGAAAAAAAAAAAGTTAACAGTAAAAGCAAAATGACTCAAAATGAACTATCCAATTAAATCTAATTGAAGGATATATGAGGAAAAGAAAAATATTTATAGATAAAACTATTTGTTTTACTCAATTGCGCAAAATTGTATGTTGTGGCTTCATTGTTTTGGTATCCTACTGAGATATAAATGAATAAAGTGAAGATTATATCATTGAATAATTTAGAATTTTGTGAATAGTGTTTTTTGAAAGAATACACAAATATCTTTTAAGAGTGCAAAGCAAATGTGTATAGTACTAGTAGCAGAACGCCGTCTTACAAAAACGCCTTGAAAACTGGAAAGCCTGCTCTTCCGCATCAGACAGAGTTATTTATAAGGCTGTAAATGCCCGATTGTGGTATTCTCTTATCTAAACTGTGCTCCCTCCTGTTAAGAACCAACAGAGCCGGCGTTTTTGCTTTGTGTCTCAACGGTAATAACAATTTCGCTGCTTCCGTGTCTTTTATTGCCTTCGTCCTAACCAACTTTCACTACCACGCACTATGCCTTGTTCAAGAGCCTATAGGATACTATTAGAGTCTTAATTCGGAAACAGTACAGCACCTTAATAGATGATTCTCGGCCAAAAAAATTAAGACAATATCTGTTTGAGCTCAGAACTATTTATACGATATGAATAGAAATATGTTTATTCCAACAGAAGCCACATCACAATTAATCTCTCGAGTGAAAATTCTAAGATATTAAAGGCAATGAAATTACTACCTCGTTACCGTCATTATCGACTTAATAATTTCGGAGACTGTTTTTAATTGACTTCACCCATTCCATTCATTTTTAAATAGTATACAGAATTTTCTACTTCTTTAAGAGAGCACTGCCATAATGTCGTAATTAGTTGTCGTAGTTAAAGAGAGGCAGGTAGTAGCAACGTAGTAGACCGTCAGCATTCGCAAGTTTTTCTGTGTTTTATTTTTAATAATATTACTACACTTATCAAAATATATATAAGGTTTTCATCAAATTAATAATTTCTACTTCAAATTTCTACTTCAAAACTCTTCCTACAAAATTTTCATCTTCTGTCTGCATCTGTTTTTTTTTTGTTTTTTATATAACTTTCATTTTATTTTTATACTTTCACTTCTGTTTTTACGAAAACGGAATTAACAATTTCCAGGACATGCTTATATTTTTTTTCATTAAAAACATATATGTTAATGTATATGTATATATCCTTATAAAATCCACATTACACATACATTCATATTGGTTATGGTAAGCATTTTATATTACATATAAATTAATAAATAAAGATACAAAATAAAATTCGAAATATTTTTGTTGTTTCAGGGTCTTTATATTTTTTTTTTACCAGGGCACACAAAATATTTTGAAGTACACATCCTATGGATATGAGAAGAAGAAAACCTATAAAGACGACAATAAAACAAAAAAAAAAATTTTCCAATGAAAATAAAAATAAAGTTTTTTTTGTCTTTCTCTTTTCTTCACTCTAATTTGAGTGAAAGAACAATTTCCATAGTGATGGGTGAAGGCATTTTAGAGAGATGACTGTAAAAAATAAAAAAATAAAAAAAAAAAATAACGTTGTTTTTCAATTTTTTTTTTTTGTTCTTTGTTTTGTTTTCTTGTTTTCAATAGAATTGTGAAAGAGAGAAACGAACTTTTTTTTGAATAACCTTGAAAATAAAATACATAACGTAAGCTCTCCTGAGACACCGACACCGTGTGGCAGCACGCATTGACGAGTTAAATGAACTCAACACAAGAATGGAAAAATGCTTTGTAATTGATTAAGGATTATTTGGAGTTTTTGTTTTTGTTATTTTTTATTTTTTATTACTTTGTGGACAAGTTAGAAAAGAGCACACACACGCTATCAACAGTCTTGAAAATTTTATTTACGTTTTAAGTGAAAGTGGTTGAATATTCAACAAAAAATAGCGCAAAAATAAGAAAATTTGATGTTCTTTGGAAGACGGATCACAAAATTAAAAAAAGAAAAACAAAAAATACAAAAAATTTGAAGATGAAAAATACTTTTAAGAAGTTCTTCCAATAATTCAATCGTCTTCAAAATGCAAAAATACAATAACCGGTGTAATTCTTTGATAGGAAAGGTACAAAAAAAAAGAACGAAATTCCGTCGATTTAAATTGTCATGTTAAGGTAAAAATGTGATTACAATATTGTATGTAAGTATTGCATATGCAAGTTTTAAATTGAAAAGGTGTAAAATAGATTAAAAAATAAAGAGTTTTTGAATATTGTATTTTTTTTTCTTAAATAACCAATTATTGTTAATACACTTTTCGACTAGAGAAATTTTTCGTTCACTCACTGTGGTTAGAAAAGTATTTTATCACATCAAATTTATAAAAGGTAAAATACGTAAAATGTCTGAAATCACGTTTTTTATCTAAGAATTTCGATAATAAATAATTATCGATAAATGAATACCGATTATTTGCATGTTTGACACAGGTTTGGTTCAGCCAATTTTGTACGTACTCTACATAAAATATTTTATACTGAAACCGGATCAATTAAAATTGACATCAATTGAATTGATTTGTGAAATAAACTATGTTGAACATAAAATTTTGACCGAAAACCGAAAAATCCGAATCAAATTTTAGTTGAGCTCATACGTAAAAATTAGCCTTTGTATTTCGATTTATTTTATATACTTATTCTTAGTTGTAGAACTTTATTTTTATTATTTATTTAAAACATTTACTATAAATTACGATCACTCTACCTCAGAGGAGCGATTAATAAAAGTATGGCACTAATTTTATTTGACAGGTGTTGACACTAACCAATAAATGAATAAAACACAATATTATTGCTAAAATAGTGTATTAAGCCCATCTATCGGTAAAAATATTTACAAGTCATCATTATTACCAAAACAATTACTAATAATTTTAAGAATTTAAAAGTTTAATCAGGTTTAACTGTACAAGTATTGTGAACAA